CGATGCGCTTAATTGGAGGAACCTTCCAGTTGACAAAACTACTATCTATGTTTGCATCCGGACAAAACTATTTCTTATCTTTCTTCGAATGTGACTAAGCTTGGCTTTTCTTGTGCCAACTCATTATGCTTCCTATTTAGGTCTAAAATTACATAGGTTTTTTATTTTTTAAATGCAAAATTCCATTTCTCTCTAGCCCTAAATGATTTTTACTATTTGATACTTCACTATTCCATCTACCACTTATGGAGGGAAATGAATAAATGAAAAAACTCGGTACCGAGCGCGGTACTCGGTACCGCGCTCAATATCACTTGATATTCTCGGTACCGAATCCGGGCACAATAATTTTTTGTTGCCTAGACATAGGAAAAACTATAAGATCTGATTCAATTAAAATGATTTCACTATTATTTATATTTGATTAGAAGTGATGTCTTCCATTTAAAAAACAAGATTAATAAATTGCGTACTACATTAATGATGTTGAAAGACCCTATGGGAAAAATCTAGCATAAATTCATGTGTTGAAGTTAGGAATTAAATTTAGCTCAAACCAAGTTCAACTCAAAATAAAAATCTTATGAAGTGTTCATTTGCTCTAAGTAAATTCAAAATCATATCAAATGAAATTGAAATTAGGATATGAAAAAAAAAGAGATGATGAAAGCAAAATTTATCATAAAATCTTTTGGATTCATGAAAAAACACATTTATATCTACCAACTTAGGTTTGATTTGATACAACTTTTGGCAAGAAATTTTAATAATAGTACTAAAAAGCTACTTTTTAAAATAATAAAATATGTATCAAATAAAGTCCTAACTTTGTTTAAAACAACTTTCTTCCTATTTTCCTATTTTTTAAAGTATTTTTTTAATAGAAAATTGTTTTGAACTATAAATTTTTATATTAAAAAGCTACTTTGAAAAATAATAAAAAAAATTGTTCAAAATTTTAGATTTCGTTAGGAACAGCTTTCCTAATACTTTCTAAAACAACTTTTTAGTATAAAATTTTCTTTTTCAAAAAATTTTATTACTAAAAAATTATTTTAAAAAGTAATAAGAAAATTATTTCGAATGAAGCCTAAATCTTCTTTTAAATTATATATATATATATATTGAAAACTATTTGAAGCAAGCCTTTCCTGTTTCCAGTTATTGGGCTTTTGGCATAAGCTCTACAACTAAAAGTATAACTATGTACCACAATTCTTATTGCTTAAACAACCTGAACAGCTAGCATTTTCATCATATATTCTACGTAAACTTCAACCCACTCATGTCTCAGTCAAGATGAACGGTCTGATTTCAACACTATCAATCACGTAAAGCTCATTCTCAATAGCTTAACACAAAAGTCGACACAATATATTAAGAGAGAGAGAGAGAGAGAGCCACCCCCTCTATTTGATTGTTTGGAGTCCACCCTCCCCATCTACTGCCAAAACCAAATCCCAAGGTTATCCCCTTAAGTCAAAGGTTATTTCCCCTAATAGATTTCAGGTTCTTCAATCATCTAAGGATCCTGTTTTATCCAAACTACTTAATACCTCGGCTCAAGATCCTATCCTGACCTCCATGATGATTTCTTAGCCATCTAAAGATTCTAGGGGCAAGCATGCAAAAAAGCCTCCCTTTCTCCTCAAATTTAATGTCCCTCACTCGTTTGGTTGTCTGGAACATGAGGGGGTTTAATAACTCGGCTAAGGTCTTCAGTTGCAAGACTTTAGCATCTCAGTGGTTCTTGGACATTTTTTGCATCTTCGAGAATCAGGTTCAATTAATTTCTGTTGACGACCCATGGTTTTATTGCTCCCATCAGGGTTTTGATAATGAGGAAAGTTAACACAACTTCGACCTTACTTCCTGGGTAGGATTTGGGTGAAGTGGAATCCCTCCTCCACTTCCTTTGTGACTACCTTCTCCTCTTGCCAAATGATCTCTGGCATTATTTCTGCTGTTAGAAATAAAAGTTTTTTTTTGCTTTCTACCATTTATGCATCCAACTCCTAGTCAGATAGACTTGTTCTTTATGAGCAGCTTTGGTTATTGTGCCTCCCTCTGACACTCAAAGGCTTATTATTGGGTAGTTTAACTATTGACGTCTTCATTCTGATAAGGCTGGGGGAACCCCTTTAAAAGTATAACTTGTTTGATTTTAATATTGTCATTTTTTTATTTAGGCCTAAGATACCTAGCCTCTAATGACAACATATTCACTTAATTTAACTAAATGTTTGATTTTCCTATTCATTTGAAATTGGATATATAGAGCTCTGGTTAATGATGTGTGGTTGAAAGCATTTCCCTCCTCCTTTTATAGAGTCATGAATCCTTTGGTTTTAGATCATTCTCCTCTTATTTTGGAAGCTGGATTTGCTAACATGTCTAGGAGTAGATTTCTTTTTAAAAATTTTTGTATCAAACAATATACCTTATGGTATGCCATCTTCTTCGTTTTATCTACTCATTATACTGGGAATTCCATATTCGAGCTTTATTATAAATAGAATAAGCTAAAACATCTCATTAAGAATGAAGCCTGGTCTAGCTCTAATACTATTGGCTATGGCCAATCGTCCCTTCAGAACTAGCAGCGAGAATGTTTACTTCTCCTTCAAGATATCATTATGGATGTTGTTCTTAATGCTAAACTCATACCTAATACTTGATTGGGAAGCGCGGTATGCTCTAAATTCCTTTATTTTGGAGATGTCACAGCTCAAAAATTACATCTGATTTGTTGGTTGAATAATTGCAAGCCGAAGATATATGGTGGAATTGGTTTACCTCACTTCAATGCTCTTTAATTAGCTTACAACTACTCGGTTACCAATAGGTTTTATAACTCAACTTCATTGCTGAATGGCTGGCTTAGAGAAAAGTATATCTCCCACTAGAAGCCTCCATCAATTAAAGCCTCAAAAGTTCTGGATGAATATACATGCCACGGCTTCTTTGACGTCAAACAAAATTAAATTTAATATTTTGGCTAACTATCCCATCTCTCTGTTTTGGGACCCCTAGCTAAATGGTGCTCCTTTGAATTTGCAAGCAAGTTTCTTAGGTTTGAATACTTACTTCCCCCCTAACAACCACCTCTTTATTCTGATTGCTGGAAATTCTTGGAACATTCCGTTCCACATTACACGAGCAAAATTTCTACTATATCTCGATCCATTCTTATTTTCCCTTATTTGGTATGCGTCTCTTAGATTCTGCAAGGTAGTAAGAATGAGAACTTTTATAATTTTATGCTTGAATATTATTTTGATAATAATTCTTGCTACTTATATTGTTTGGTGTGGCACAAGCATTTTGCCCTGAGGTATTCGTCTTTTATTTGGATGTTAAGGGGGGTCTTAAAACAGCCGATGATCTTAATCGGAGGAACCTTTTGATTGACAAAACATGCTCTCTCTATTTGCATTCAGACGAAACTATTTCTTATCTTTCTTCGAATGTGACTATGCTTAGTGTTTTTTGCTTTTCTTCTGCCAACTCATTTTGGTTCCTATTTAGGCCAAATATTACATTTTTTTTTTACATGAGAAATTCCATTTCTTTCTGGCCCTAAAGAATTTTTACTATTTGCTAATTTGCTACTCCATCTACCACTTATGGAGGGAAATGAATAATAGGAAATTTGGAAGCAAAATTTCTTCTTATGTCACTATTTTCCATATCATTAAAAAAGAAGTGAGATTCAAAGCCTCAAAATGGAAGACCTTGGAGCTTATTAAAAATGTGGTGCAGTTCTAATTTTTGTTATTCTCAAATGGGCTTTATTGTTCGGCCTGTGTTGCCTTTTCTTAAATTTTGCTATTCCCTCTCTCTCTCTCTCTCTCTCGTGTTGTTGCCTAGGAGAAAGTGACCGAACACCAAACGCATCCAGAGATCAATTAAAAAAAATCACATCACTGGGCGCTCGATACCGCGCTCAGTATCACTCGATATTCTCGGTACCGAATCCGGGCACAATAATTATTCGTTGCCTAGACATAGGAAAAACTATAAGATCTGATTCAATTAAAATGATTTCACTATTATTTATATTTAATTAAAAAACAAGATTAACAAATTGCGTAATACATTAATGATGTTGGAAGACCCTATGGGAGAAATCTAGCATAAATTCATGTGTTGAAGTTAGGAATTAAATTTATCTCAAACCAAGTTCAACTCAAAATAAAATCTTATGAAGTGTTCATTTGCTCTAAGTAAATTCAAAATCATATCAAATGAAATTGAAATTAATATATGAAAGAGAAAGACATGATGAAAGCAAAATTTATCATAAAATCATTTGTACTTATGAAATAACACATTTCCATCAGCCAACTTAGGTTTGATTTGGAACAACTTTTGGCCACTATTTATTCATTGCTTTCAAAAAATTTTAATACTAAAAACCTTCTTTATAAAATAATAAAATATTTATTGAATAAAATCTTAGGCTTTGTTTGGGACAACTTTCTTACTATTTCCTAAAATAAATTTTTAGTAGAAAAATTTTTTTAGCTATAAATTTTTATACTAAAAAACTACTAAAAATAATAAGAAAGCTGTTCCAAATGAAATCTTAAGCTTCATTTGGGACAACTTTCTTGATATTTTCTAAAATAACTTTTTAATATAAAATTTTCTTTTATAAAAAAAAATGTACTAAAAAATTGCTTTAAAAAATAGTAAGAAAATTGTCCCGAATGAAACCTTAATCTTCTTTTAAATTATATATATATATTGAAAACTATTTGAAGCAAGCCTTTCCTGTTTCCAGTTATTGGGCTTTTGGCATAAGCTCTACAACTAAAAGTATAACTAAGTACCACAAATTCTTATTGCTTAAACAACCTGAACAGCTAGCATTTTCATCATATATTCTACGTAAACTTCAACCCCCTCATGTCTCAGTCAAGATGAACGGTCTGATTTCAAAACTATCAATCACGTAAAGCTCATTCTCAATAGCTTAACACAAAAGTCGACACAATATATTAAGAGAGAGAGAGAGAGAGAGCCACCACCTCTATTTGATTGTTTGGAGATTCCAAATTCTCCATCAATACTGCCATTATTGAGCCCTTAAGCATCTCGCAGCGTCTAATCCTTGTTTTCCAATCTATCTTACCCTCTATTATTAACAGAGAGAATCATTCTTATTCCACCATGCATGGCTTACTAACCCTTCATCAAACCTCTCTCCATCCCTATAAAACAGGTCCTCAACTCCTCCAACTTCTTCATTCTATCTCATAAACATACATATATTTTACATTGTAAAGATCAAATTATAATATAGAAGAATGAATGGAAAGAAGGGTAGTATCGTCATTAAGATAGTTGATCGGCCGGAAAATGGTAAAAAGGATTCCGGTGATGCCGGGGAGTCTCCGGCGAGAAAATGGATAAGAGATGTGTGGCAGTTTGCCAAAGAAGACATGAACAGAATTACCTTCTCACTTAAGGTTGGTCTGGCTGTGCTGCTTGTCTCCCTGTTGATACTTATCAGAGCACCATATGAGGTATTTGGAACCAGCATCATTTGGTCCATACTTACAGTAGCTATCATGTTCGAATACACCGTAGGTATGTTCATTTATAACATTACAAATATATATGCTCACTTTCATGAAATTGTAATAAATTTATCATGTAATTTCTGTTCATTGTAGGTGCTACATTCAACAGAGGGTTCAACCGAGCTCTCGGGAGCCTCCTCGCCGGAATCTTCGCCATCACCATGATGCAAGTAGCCATGGCCTGCGGCCAAATTGCAGAGCCCTACATCATTGCCTTAAGCATCTTCTTCGTAGGTATAACTTGTTTATATTGAATATATAAATGTACAAATAATGAAACTTATATACATGCATGTTAATTATATAACTCATGAAACTTACTTGCTCAAGCAGGGGCTATAACGTCGTTCATGAAGCTGTATCCATCGCTGGTTCCATATGAATATGGTTTCAGAGTCATACTCTTTACGTACTGCCTCATCATTATCTCCGGCTACAGGATGGGCAATCCAATCAGAACGGCCATGGATCGAATGTATTCCATAGCAATAGGAGGCATAGTCACTGTGCTTGTTAACTCCCTCGTCTTCCCAATCTGGGCGGGCGAGCAGCTCCACCTAGAGCTCGTGGGAAGCTTCAATGCTGTTGCAGATTCGCTCGAAGGTTCTCTCCATCACAGCCAATCATCATCTTCACAATCTGTTCATATTCTGTTAGATAATTAAACTGTTAAATCTCTCTCTGTGCACAGAGTGTGTCAAGAAGTACTTGGCAGATGATGGCTCGAGCCACCCCGAGTTCTCCAAGACAGTAATGGACGACTTCGCTGATGAACCGGCATTCCACAAGTGTCGAGCAACATTGAATTCATCGGCAAAGTTTGAAGCTGTGGTAAGCTAAGCAGGTTGAAAATGAGATTACTTCGATGACAGAGCATCTAACAGTGTAATGTATATAACAGGCGAATTCGGCAAAGTGGGAGCCGCCGCATGGCAGATTCCGGCACTTCTTCTATCCATGGTCAGAATACGTCAAGGTTGGGGCGGTGCTCCGGCACTGCGCCTATGAGGTTATGGCTTTGCACGGCTGCCTGCATTCAGAGATTCAGGTCTTTGTTCTTATTCTCTGTTTGAGATCTTACTTACAGCACTATTCTTATGCTCCACTGAGTCTGCAATAAACACAAAGGAACAACTTAGTTTTCGATGCCATCCTGTTGCTTGCAAAGCGAAAGAAAATCAACGAGATCAAATATAAGAAAATATTGGGAGAGAACATTCAAGTCAAATCACAGAAGAAAAGCATCTGATGCTCTCAGATAATAACATACCATTTGTTTATAAAGGATCAAGGTCTACAAATAGGGTCTACAAATAGACCTTGATCTATTTGTAGAACTTGATATAAATATATCAGTAGTATCCAACTAGTAGTAGGATATTGTCCGGTAACAAACATTTTAAATCAATAAAATTGAACCATTATTATTGCTGACATTTTACTTAACTGCAATTGTCCATTTCTTAAGAAGTTAGCTAGTCAAGCACCACCTATTAACGAGAAATTATTATGTGCGGAGACCGGACGTAGAATGCCATCCGGAGAGCAACTAGAATGCGCCACGTCAGTGATACTGAACAGTATCGAGCTGCGGTACCGAGTGAAGGGATGACTTAACGCATTCTGGTTGGTCTCCGAATGACGTTCGGCTTCCACATAGAATAATTAATCCCTCTTAACGGTTTCTAGAAAATATCCATTAAATATTTATAAAAATATACAGAAACTTCATCTCAAGATATCAAATGATCAAACAAATTTCTGATGCTTTCCATATAAATAATAATTTACTGGGTCTTATATTGCATAAAATAGTTATATATTAAGAATTTCAAATCCTCAGCACAGCGATTTAAGAATAATTTAAGTCGCTACACTGAGATACTATGTAGTTCAAGGCACAGGCCGTCATGACAGATAGATTGGATATGTAAACATCAAGAAAATTATTCAAGTGTACTATAAACAACTAGGCAAAAAGCATAATTTCTTTATCCCACTATGTAGAGTTGCCTACATGAATTCTTCTTCATTATTATATCCTATTTAGGGTAAAATTCTTATTTATATCTAATAAAAAAAATATTATTTCTAACTATTTCTAACCATGAACAAATTTCTTCTCTTCCAGATTAAAATCATTCAATTATAAAGGTCATTTGCTATCACTGCACCATTTGAATATCCAACCAAGATCAACGTAGGCTTTTGCAAATCAAGATATCAATATAAACGGGAGATGTTTTAAAAGTGAAATAATTAAGAGTAAAATCTCAAAGAAAAACAAGGATAAACAAGAAAAGAGACAAACGTGTTAACAGATAAATAAATAAAATGATATAAATATATAATATGCTGAAGCTCTACAAAAGCATCTAAGAATAAAAGAATGCACCTGAAAAAAAATGTTTTTGTGGTTTTTCGCAAGGCAATAATAAATTATAATTAGCACTTTTGCTTGTAGTTTTCCAACCTTTATGAAAAGATGAATCTAACTGAACTCCTCTTTTGTACATTTAATTGAATGAGTGATGACTAATTGACTATTGGGAATATCAAATGTAGGCACCATATAATCTGAGATGTGCATTCCAGCCAGAGATCCTTGATGCTACAAATCAGGCAGCGGAGCTATTACGAAGCCTAGGCAAAGATATCAACAACATGAAACGAAGCCTGCTGACAAATTTGTTGAAGAGAGTACACAGCTCAACTGAGCGCCTACAACGTTCAATTGACATGCACTCTTACCTGCTAACTTCAAGCCATGAAATTCAAGATTGTCCTCCTAAACTTCCTATATCGCAACCCTCAAATACAATCACTCGCACCTCTAAGGACTCACACAGCCAAGTGGAGGAATCAGAAAGTAACGATGAAAAGCTAAATTCAGCTTATACCAAACAAGTCCAAGGTGATTCTTACCACGAGACCATGAGAAAGCAGCAAAGGCGGCTCTACTCATGGCCTTCAAGGGAAGTTGACGATTACGAAGATGGAGATGTTGACACAGAAATGCTTCAAAAAATGCGTACCTTTGAAAGCACTGCAGCTCTTTCCTTGGCCACTTTTGCTTCATTGCTCATAGAATTTGTCGCGCGACTTGATCACTTGGTTGATGCTACTGATCTCCTCGCTAGGATGGCCAAGTTCAAGGAAGATTATTAAAGCTAAAAGAGCTTTTTGTGATGTGTACCATCTTAATGCCAATTATCAGTTTCATGCAACAAAGATATACATTTTGCAGATGAGGGACTTGGTTTGTAGGCTAAACAGGTTTATATTATATAAATCTTTTTTTTTTTCCAAGAGAAATCAGAACTAGCACGGAAAAAATTTCTCTAAAGAGATTTTATTAATATTCCACAACTTTGTAGGTATAAGAAAGCAGTTTCCTGATAATCAAATCTGTAAATTCTATAAGCTTTCTAGTCTCTTCCTGACTTAGAATATCCACGGTAATGTTAAACTCGGTTTATTCCTAAAAATCTAATGATAAGGTTTTATGATCAATACAATATTCATGATAAATATTACAAAAAAGTCTAACTTTCTTGTTCAAAAAATAAATACTTCAAAAAAAAAAGTCTAATTTCACAGTACATGTATCCACAAGTAACTAGTTTGTAAAAGTCGGTACTAGTCATTTATCCTATAACACGTTGTCGCATCCTTAAGCACTTCTAATACAAATATTCTGCAATATAACACATCTTGCAGAAAAGATCTAATGTGTTAATCAGAGCCTTTAAAGACCTATAACAACTTTTTTAAGGAAACTTAGGCTTCGTTTGGGATGGCTTTCTTCATGCTTTTTTAAACAGCTTTTTAATACAAAAGTTTAAATTTTTATACTAAAAATCTGTTTTAAGAAGCAGTAAAAAAGTCGTCCCAAACAAAGCCTTAATCGATCTAGCTGTTAAATCTTGAAATAAATGAATGTGAGCTTCATTTGATTATGTTTTTCCTTTCTGACGCTTTTCAAAAAACTATCAAACTATAAGGTTAAATTTGTGCGGGAAATGACAACAAAAATGACCACTTCATGTGTGTACGACTCCTAGCTTCATATGAGGAATGCATTTATGAAGCAACTTGTTCATTTTTGTGAGACTTATCGTCAACAAAAACATTAGCCTATTGCAACAACGTGGGGTTGGGTTTTGTGAGACTAACAATAATTTTATTTAGTACAAAAAACGAAAATAAATCGTAACAATTGGGCCATTTAGAGACAGGTGGGGTGTGGAGTAGCTGGCTGGAGGCAAGATGGCTAGGCAGCATTGTAGGAAAGCGAGATAGATGTCCCATTTGGAATAGTTTGAAGGTTGATTGCAACCTTACCTCTCAAGCCAGCGTTAGGAAATACTTGAAGTTCACAAGTAAAACCAAACGATCTTGACAAAAACAGCGAGAACGATCCACAAATCCAACGAAAAAACTAAATAACAGTAGATTTTATTGCAATATTGCAATGATCAAACTAATGGAAGAAAAATAGCAAGATACAATTGATCCTCAATTCGAGAAGAGGATCTATCTATCTCAATCCCTAGACGCTGCTAGAGCCCAAGTCACCAAACTCCAAGAATGAAATCAGCCACAATAATTTGCATAACCCTAACCCTAATCATCTCTTTCTATTTAAAGCAAACAATTCCACAATAATAATAAAAAAAAAAACAATTCCACAAAAATTTACATGTGTAGTACAAGTTCTTATCAGTTTAATATCTGATATGTGGGCTATTAACTCATTATGATATTAAATTAATTTTTGTTGGGGAAGGGCCGTTATAGTAGCTTGCTGCGGGGGCTATTGAGCGTCACTCTTGCGTTGCACTATTGCATGAGCATGGCGCACCCCTAGAAAAAAAAACAATTCCACCTCCTTAGCCCTAGCCGCCCCCCTCCCTTGCATGGGTAGCAATTCAAGAGGGCGGACCAAGCTTGGTCCGCCTCTTATAAACCTAGGCTGGCTTGGTCCGCCTCTTATAAACCTAGGCTGGATCCTTGCCAGGGCCGGCTGGACCAATCCCTCCTAGACCAATCTAGGCATAATAGAATGTTATCCATTTCAGACTTGCATGGAAACTTTTGGGAGACTACCCTAGTTATCCTTTTGTAAGAATACATATAAGTTGCTCACTTATTGAGTACATATATTTTTTCTTGATCAATGATTGGCAAAGGATAAGGCATAACCTCAAGCTAATGGTAGGACACAACTGCTTGGACGCACTTGAGTAGGTGATTTTTTATTCATAGTGGAGAAGGGTGAGATCCATCAATATTTTGACATGATAGAGGGGGTGTGGGATGGCGGAAGCTTGATCTCAAAGCAAGGAGAGGGTTCCATTATGGCAGGTTGTATGCTTATTCTCCATTGGAGGTCCTATCCATATTCTTACAAATAATAAAAGATGGGATGTGATTTCCTACAGATGATGTTAAACTATAGTTTATTAGAATAATCATGATGGTAAAAGAAGAGTTTATCATTTAGCATTGCACAAAAATCTCACACACATGGATAAATAATCCCTGAAAAATAGGAGATGAAAAATTATTGATGTGGAAAACTAAAAAAAATTGGTATGTCATATGAAGCAATTTCACTGTATAAGTTAATATTATAAAGATTCACCTTTCTTCGTAGCTAGAATAGCAAGATTATAAGGTTTAAATAAAGGATGTCTCCTATAATAGTGGTTAAGACTGTTGAAAAATGGTTAAAGGTGACAGATAGTACAGTTTGTTGATGGTGGGTGGTGAAGTTCAAGCAATGATTATCAACATCAATTGATGGTGGGCAATGATAGACCAGTGGACATTAGCATCAATCGATGATGGGCAATGGAAGATTATTATATTAGTCGACTGCGAGAAAAAAAATAGCAAAAGTCAAGTGTTATGATGTAGTTAGTGATGAATGTTTTCCTAGCCAAAGGAAAGATCAAGCGACCAAGAGAAGCAGAGTAGTTTGGATATGCAAATCCCAAAATCGGCAAGTAGAAATTCCAAATAACATTTATATCTCTAAAATTTTCTAAATATGAATATTCTCTTACTAAGAAAATCCCCCCCAAATGTATTGGGACAGAGCCTATTTATAAAGCTTTGTGATGTAGCACATGGAAGTGGGTCCAATCACTAGGTCAAGAGCATATGAAGCTCAAGCCATCAAGAGTAAGAGCACATGAAGAATTAGTCAATGCATTTAATCTACTATTTCACTTATGTTAATATATTTGGTGTTTTAAGTGCTATGTGGACTTCATATTAATGTATTTTTCTTTGTTAGTGCATAATAGTTTATGTCCAATTCATGGAAAAGAATGTAAGGGCCGGCCATGCTAGTATGCATGAGAGAAGGTGGTGGTTGCTAGTGGGCCCACGCAAGGAGCCAACCCCTCCCTCTTTGACTTTTCCCTCTTTATTTTAAATTTAAATGATTCTTGTGATTTTCACTTGTATGAAAAAGTTCTAAGACTGAAAGGAAAGAGGATTATTGTGGTTACATGCTTTGAAGTGAATTCCAAAGGGCTAGAAGGCTTCTGGCTAATCCCAAGGAGAATGAGTAATCTTCTTGGATTCCCTACTTTGATGAATAGGTTTTTAATTTTATACACTTTCTTTTATTGTAAATTTCTATGATTTTATTCTAGTGTGTGTAATCTATCTTTAAAAAATATACAATACAATTATCACCCTCTAATTTCAAGTCTAATCCTTCCCTTAGAACTAGCCAAGGAGCTTGTCTTTGCTAGATCAATCTTGTTCTTCTTGTTATTTGACCAATCAAAACTTCATAAAATCTCATCAAAATCTATAGATCATTAGTCCACATTCCATACTTTAATAAACCTAAATTTATTTTGGGTTTTTCTAGTCAAATTCCTAGAGAATAAATCAACCTTAGTTCTATATCCTGCTTGCTATTTTTGACTTGTAAATATTTTCAATCACATAAAATCTCAATAAAATAAAATAAAACCCCACAAAAAAAAATTTAAAACTTTTAGACACATCTAGAGAGTTTGCTTAATCATTTTCAATAGGAATTATTGAGTTCCACCCATTCCATAGGAAACTACAACCAAATTCCTAACATTGGTATGTTCTAAACAAAACTGACAGATATATTTTCCAAAGCACATTTGGACTACATAAACCTCTGCAATCTTTATCAAAATTTTCCATAAATAAACTAGACAATATGCCCTTCAAATCAAGCCTAAATCTACTAGATTTGGATATTTGTAGAAAGAGAATCAATTAGTAGAAATTGGGTTTACATCTCTACGTAAAATATAAAACTCATGATCTACTGATGAGGACATCAGCAGGAGATTTCGACGCGTCTGCCATCGGAATAATCGTAGATCGACGACTACGATTCAGATTCTCTATTTATGATACATTTATGTATTTCTTTTATTTTATTTCAGTTTTACCATTGTATCCCTGTGTGGGATTTCTTTTATGTTGTAGTCCCGAGGGCATTTGAGTCTTTTATTTTTCTCTTATTGTGAGACATATATATAGAGGTCTTCACTATTGTATGGGGTTAATGAATGATTGATTAATAAAATCTTATATTTTGGTTCATTATTTTGTGAGCTCTTGAGAGAAGAGAGAATCCTAGGCGAGGGCCAAGCATCACCCATCAGCCGCTGGTAGAGGTCGTGCTCGCGGTTCGTATCCATTTCTATTTTCTTTCCACAAGAAGTGTTGTGAACTTTGGGTTCGTTTTAACGACGTGAAGGGAGGAGGATCAAGGCGTCATCGTGCGCGCAAGATGACATTCCGGTGTCGTTTGCAGGATTTCGGTATGTACTCCCACAGGCCACAGGTAATGATTTATGCAAAAACTATATTGCATTTTTTTGTTTCTTTCCTTTTGGATGTAGCTTAGAGATCCACAAAAATCTATCTTAAATAAGTATAAAATCTAATGTATGTAATCTATCTTAAATAAGTATATCTCTGTCTCGAACTGATATAGAAATTAATTAATTTAATTTTGTTCTAATGTATGTAATCTATCTTAAATAAGTATAAAATCTAATTATCTCTCTCTACTTTCAAGTTCAATCCTTCCTACTAGAACTAGATAAGAAATCTGTCTTGTTCCTCATGTTATTTAATCCACCAAAATCTCCAGATAATTAGTCCACATTTTATACTTCAATAACCCTAAGTTTATTTTGGGTTCTTCTAGTCAAATTCCTAGAGATTAAATTAGCTCTAGTTATATATTCTATTTGTTGTTTTTGTCTTGTAAGTGTTTTCAGTCACATAAAATCTCAAGAAAAATAAATATAAAACCCCACAAAAAATCTAAAAATTTTCAGATAATATTTAGAGAGTTACCTTGATAATTTCTAATTGGAACTATTGAATTCTACCCATTATATAGTAAATCAAAATCAAGTCCCTAACATTGGTTTGTTCTGGACAAAACTAATATATATCTCTTCCAAAACACATTTGGATCACATAAACCTCTTCAATCCTTACTAAATCTTTTATAAATAAACTAGAATATATTCCCTTCTTATCAAGCCTAAATTTGTTGGATTTGAATACGTTTAGAGAAAGTATCAATTAGTAAAAGTTGAATTTAAATTTCTGGATAGATTATAAAGCTTGTGACCTACCTCCCAAATTTCAAAGTAATTCTTCTCTAAAAATTGATCTTAACTTCTAATTCAATTTATAAGAGTCTCCCACATCCACCAATTGATAACATCAGTAATCTAAGGTCTCCATCCATCCAACCATCCCTCATCACTTTGAAGTTGGCATTATTATTCTTTATGTGAGAATTTGGAACACTCAATCAGATAGTTTGAATAGATTCTCATTGATTGTTTGATGTTTGTGGAAATCTCATCACCTTCATGAACATGAAATTAAACAACTTTGAACTCGTTAGATTCTTTCCAATGATGGGGCTTATCGTAAGCTACCATGTGATTTGCTGAGTTTGAAATATGCATAGGTTTTCTTTCATATAAAATTAATAAAAGCTCACTTAAATATGCAAGTATAGTGCCAAATCAAGTAATAAAAATAGAGTAGAGTGTCGAACCCACGAAAAAGTATTCTGCTCAATTGCAACTGAACTACTATTGCTTACTTCAAATGCACAACTTATCCTACTGAAAAATAAAAATGATGTTTTGGAGTTTTTGTCACTAAAAGAAATACTTGCAAGGAGATTTTGATACTTATGAAAATAAGTTATTTTAAACTAATGAATGTAAATTACATAGTTTTCCTAATGAGACTTTTTTTATTTTAGATGTGGATTAGAGCATATGTATCCCTAGATCTCTGTTGAGCTTATAGAGGTGAAAAAAGATGTTTATGGCCTTCATACAATTTTACTATCTTTATAGAACCTAGAATATTCAAACATCTTATGTCTAGCCATGACAACATTCCATTTCAATAATCTTAATTGTTCAGCATTCCTCCGTCAATGTTGTATATCACACTGGATTTTAACTACACACATGACCATTGTATGCATTAAATGAAAAACAATAGATATTGAAAACATCATTTTACCATTCAAGGAACAAAAGTCTACATTAGTACTTGCTATGTTTTTTTATATTATCAACCAAAAACTAGAGAATTAGCACGAAAGATAGAACAAGTAAACTCATCTTCATTTTAATCATTGAAAGAAAAGATACAAGAGGAGTGATAAAAAAATTATCACCCGAAAGGATCAAATGATCTTCTCCACACACCTTCCTCCAACTACAGAGTTTCTTACACAAACATGTTAAGATCTTCACAAGGAAAAGTATCTTGCACTTTCCTAGCTTCCCATAGACTTTACTCTAAGGGGGCACTAAAGAAATACACTTAAAATTATAGAATTTCACTTAAGTTATAAAACTGTCTAAACAATAGAACTGAAAAACTATTTATAAAAAGTGCAGGGATGGGCTCAAGTGTCGCAGTACTCAACAAGGCGGTGCTGCAGCGCTGCCTGACCTGGCGCAGTTAATGATTGAAATGGTGCATCTTTTGGCTGAGTCCGTGTGGCTCCTTACACTGGAAACTATTCCATTGTAGTGCTCTAGAAGTTTGAGCATTGAGCGCTGAGGCGATGCAAGGATCGACGCTCATTTTCCCGAGGATCCAATGATGTGGTGCTGAATTTAAGCACAGCGGCACTGTGTGACATTACGACACTAACCTTAATGACGCTGCAGCGCTTTAAAACAAAGAACCTGATGTTGTGCTGTGAAACTCAATGTTGCGGTGCTTATGTGATGGCGTTGTGGCGCTATTCAACATATTATTACTTAAATTAAACACAATAAACAATACACAATTTACACTTAACATCCATCAAGATGCTCATTTTTTCTATAACTAAATAGCATTCAGATAGCATTTGACCCACCAAATAGCTTGAAGAAGTTTCTAATTACGCATCTGAGTATTTGATTAAAAAGCCCATTTGGATTGTTATCTAAGCATTCTTGACATCGTTAGGTCGACCTTGTCAAGCTATTCCATCACAATCATAAGTATCTTGAAAAATGGAGTTCAAAGGACCTTGAAGTCAATCTCAGAGGTTTCTAGCCCAAATATTTGTACACTTAGAGATCTAAAAATTAAATCAAAATTCTTATTTGATCGAATGAATTTTAAGGTGGTGTATCACCTCTCAAAACATATTCTTAAATACAAGCGACGATCAAGTGCAAACCCACAGTAAGTTTTTTTTTAAGAAAATCGTCCTGTCCTGCTACAGAAACTTGGTATAACCAGTTCATTCTAACAAAACTTATGTCCTCAAAATCAATTCACTCCAACAATAACAAAATGAACCCAACTCTTCAGCCAAACTACGAGTTACAACTCTCTTGAGAAACCAAAAGTATGTATGGCATATGCACAATCCCTTTTCTCAAACGTCAAGCAATAAAATTTTCATCACCTCTTTTTGGATGGAGAAATTGATGTAGTATCCACTATCTCAAGTTAAAGCAGTCCACGCTTAAGGAACAGGACTGAGAAAACGCTCGGCCTGTAAATTCATAACATATAGATCAAAACGTATGAAATGATAACAGATTAGGGTAAATTATAGTAGAATTAGGGTTTACACTTTCGAGGGAGCTTTACCTTGGAAGCATAGAGGGATTCTCTCAAAGCGGATTAAAGGAGATGAATGAGCATATTACTTGAGAATGTTTGGGAGCTTGCAAGCAAATTCGCGGTACTGCAAATCCGGAGGGAGGTTTAAGGGTTGGTTCTTCGGTTAAATCAGACCGGTTTAAGGATGGTTTGGTTCGAAGTTAGCCCAACCGGGTTTAATTAAGCTCCCGCGTTGAAAGGGTGTTTGGTAATTTATTTATTTAAGCATATTTGATTTGTGCTTTTTTTTTTAATAAATAAAAACAAGTATTAGGCTTTTTCATTTTGTTAAAGAATAGAAATTTTGTTAGAATACTTATTACAAATTAATCAAGATGTATTTGAAAATGGTTGAATTGATTTTTTACATGTAGCATTACTTTTAAAATAAATGTAATAACGTTCGTCTGATGACAACGGCGTCAGGCAACTGCACAGAATAATTTCTCTAAGATTAGAGAGAGTCGTCTTAGAATTTGGTCACATAAAACGACGGCCTTTTGATTACTTGGTTAGAAAAGTAGATGGGGTGGGATGAAGGTTTAATGTTGTTTTTATTGTATTGAATGAAATTAAATATAATTTAACAAGTTTGATCTCTAATTGAATATATTTGAATATTAGCTTATTTCTTTATTTATTTTCATGAATATATATTTGATGAGCTATTTATTAATAGGGAGATTTATATACATACCACTTAATACTATTCTATTTATATATTTAACACCTAAAATTTTAATATTACATACATACCACTCATAGTTCATTTTCATATCAAATATGAGTGGTAGAAATGAAATATATGAGTGGTAGGAAAGATAAGAACGAAACCTTAATATTAGTCATAGTTTGTGTATTTGCAAGTCACAATAAGTCCAAGAATACATTGGTATTAAAATCAGGGTCACCTAAAAATGGAGATTGAACTAATTCAACTTTTATTTGAAATTTTCTCTTCTAATCAAACACGCAAAAGACTCGCAATTTCATTGAGTGCATAGATTATGGTCTCATTTGAGATGATTTTTTACTACTTAAAATAACTTTCTAGTCTAAAAATAATTTTATTGTACCATAAAACTATTTTAAGAAACAGTAAGAAACCAGTCTCAAACAAAGCTTATAATGGCTTCAAGAGACTTAGCTTTGAAGACTTTCTTCAATGAAGTACATGTGATCCAATCAATTTCATCAGAATTGTTAGCTAGATACATCTGCTCATGATGAGGCCTTTATAGTTTCGATTGGCCGATTAACCACCACCATCACCGCCGGCAACCATAAGTTCTCGTTAGGGTTCATGTGTTCGTTAGGATTCATACACATGAACGCATCGATCTTTTAATTTATCTAGTTTTTCATGCCTATTTCTATATCTAGATGAATTCTCTCTTCAAACAATTTTATTTTGCCTATATACTTATTAAATGAATGAATGCAATGTAAAGATCAATAATGAACAGTTGGTACCAGCCACAACGGCAACGCGATGTAAAAAAGAATTCAACCAAAAATATATAAGTTTAAAATACATAAAAAAAATATACAAAGTGAAAATAAATTCCTCAAAATTTTATTCTATATTTCTTTTTCATAAAATAAAATGCACAAATTTCAGCAAAACAAACAGGTCCTTCATAATGTTCAAATCTTTTCTCCTTAAGAGGAACAATTATTACGTCCTCCGACCGGATGCAGAGAAACATCCGGTCGCAGGCAAAATCCTGCTATACCGAGGTGTACCGAGTTTTTTTCGAAAAACTTGATAAACCTCGGTTCAGCAGGATTTTGCCTGCGACCGAATGTTTCTCTCATTCGGTCGACCGGACCAAATAAAACTTCCCTTAAGAGGGCTTAGTCATTCTTTGGTCATCTCTATTGTTTCTATTTACCAAACAACCCTTCATAATAAGCTTAAGATTAAATTAACCATCAACATATACAAAGGTAGTTCATCAACCCATAGGGCCAATGAAAGTGGCAAATAGGCAATGAGCTAAGCTCCATAGCCCATTGCTTATTAAGACTTTGTTTGGGACGACTTTCTTACTACTTCATAAAGCAATTTTTTAGTATAAAAATTAAAAAATTTATATAAAAAACTGCTTTAAGAAGCAGAAAAAAAGTCGTCCCAATCGTCATGACTACGAATATGATCAAATAAATACAGAGGGAATCATTACAATTCAATGTAGCAGCATATATTCACAGGAAGCTAAATAAAAAACAATCAGAAGTACAGCATTGACAAAGATCCCTAGCGTACATTTACAACTACAGAAGCTAAAAGAGCCCATAGCCCTACCCTACTTATTCTTTTCACAAAAGGGATTAAACTTAGGCTTCATTTGGGGCGGCTTTCTTACTGCTTCTTAAAGCGATTTTTTAGTTCAAAAATTAAGATTTTTTACTAAAAAAATTGCTTTATGAAGCAGTAAGAAAGCTGTCCCAAACGAAGCCTTAATAGAAGGCCATCATAGACAATGGAAGATGAAAAAACTTGGCTTTCTCATCTACTTCACACATCCAGTTAACAACGGGAAATAACGGTTGGAAAGAAAAAAAAAACAAGCAAGCCAATCACAGAAGACCCCAGTGAAGGCAAGGAAGCTAATTACTAACCCTTCACAAGTTTCCATAATTCATGGTATAAAAGGAACTTGATTTGAATTGGAAGTGCTGCACCCTTCAGCCTGGTTTGCAGAATGATTGACTATAGCTCCACTACCTAGCAAAGCCATAATAAGACTACCACCATGAACTCTGCCTTCTGGAAGTGAAGCCATTCCATTTGTGGGATCACTGAATTTCCTCTGATCCAGGTTCCTCCAGGTCATAAGATTTGAATCCTTTTCAACAACAATTCCCTTCATCTTATCAGGTTTAGCTGGTAAAGCTTTAGGAGCTCCGAGAACTCCTAGCGTCTCTCCACCATGAACCTGGTGGTCCTGCATCAGAGCAAGGTGAGCAGTACAAAGGCCAAGCTTTCCCCTGGCAAATCTACCGCAGCGAGGCCCGCTGGCATTTATATCTGGCCTGGCTTCACCCCACGAGCATCTTTTGCCACCTCCATGAGCCTTGCAGAAATCAGTGCTCCCCTGGGCACTCTTCACACAACCTTCATACTGGCATCGCCGGCCTCCACCATGACGAACACAGTAGTCCGTTCGACCTCTTGCGCTCTTAGTGCATTCCGGTGCAGCGCACCTCTTACCGCCACCATGGGCAACGCAGAGATCGGTCCCGCCGTGTACACTCTTAGTACACACACCACCACCTTGAAACAAGCATCGCTTCCCTCCGCCATGGCCTTTACAGAAGGGAGTGCTTCCTTCTGCGCCTTTGCTGCAGTCTGGAAAGCTGCAACGCTTTCCTCCACCGTGAGCTTTGCAATACATCGTGCTCCCCTGTGCACCTTTTGTACATTCCGGGAATTTGCAACGTTTGCCTCCACCATGGGCAATGCATAAGCCCGACTGGCCTTCCGCACTTTTTGTACATTTTTCCATTTGACATCTCTTGCCACCTCCATGCCTAATGCATAATCCAGATTTTCCTCTCGCAGCTCGTGTGCAGCCATCTTTGCTGCAGCGGCGACCACCACCATGCGCAATACAATAATCTGTGCGGCCTTCAGCACTTTTCATGCAACCAAGGAACTCGCAACGACGACCACCTCCATGTGCCTTACAATATTTAGTCCTTCCTTCAGCTCCCTTCTGACAATCAGCTTTCTGACATCTTTGACCTCCACCATGAGCTATGCAATGTCCAGAAGCACCCCTAGCTCCTTTCACACAATCTGGATACTGACAATATTTTGTACTACTGCTTTTATTTTGCTTTTGAATGTTCACGGAAGTACAGTCAACTGAGCTTTTCGGCGCTTCTGTGACAATTGATAACTGGCTTATATTTGGAAATCTGACTGATTTAGAAGATCCTGTGTTGTAACCATATGGAATTCGAATGCTGACATTTTTCCAGGATGATGAAACCACTCCATCATCAATCGCAGGCCCAGGAAAATTGACCGTTGAAGCCTCTATGCTAAATAGATGTTTTGCAGGGGCTTCAAGTTCACTTGTAATAGATGATGCGGATGCTCCAACAGATAAACTCAACTGAGTATCGATTATAGGATTTGTGGATACTGAATTTGTAGAGGTTACAGAACGGACCTTAGCAAAATTTGTATTTTCAGCACCGAGTTTAAGTTCGAAATTTAAATCTAGATCCATGGAACATTCTTCATCAGCAACATAAGCCGAAGAGTAAGTGCAAACAGTTCCTGAGCTCCTCTTACTGCTTTCTGAGGTACTTGTTGAACACTGTAAAACTGAAGCCCGTGGGACATGCCCAGTACCCCTACCTCCATTAATATCCTCCCACTTCCTCTTTGTTCCTTTCATGTTGAATCCATGAACACTGGAAGTGTCCAGTGAATCTAGCCGTAGTGTGGTATCTGCTTGAGAATCTAGCCTCTGATTAAAAATTGATCCCATTGTTAAAAAGGCTTATAGACGCATAAGATTCAAGTGTTTGTCACTCGCAGATGGGAAAGCTTCTTATCAAAACAGAGAATTACGGTCATATCTTATTTCAAACAAATCTTCATAGAAACAAAACAGTTAACGAACTTCAGGGAAAAAGATTGTCACTTGCGGATGGGGAGCCATTCAGAGTGTTTGCCTCCTCCACTACCAAAACCAGCTGAATTATTAAGAAAACTTCACAAATGATGCACGTAGCTCCAGGAAAAGATAGCAATTAATGGTTACTGATGTGTCGCAGATACTGAATTCATGAAAAAAAAAAATCTAAAAAACTAAACAAGCCAATGTTTAAAGTCAACGAGGAAGAGTTAGCACATTCAGAAAATTCTAGAAAAGCAAATGATTTGCATGAAAACAAGCAGTTCTCCCATATACAAAAACTAAATTGAATAAATAATAAATAAACAGAGAAAAAAAAAACCAAATGCATAGAGACTGAGAAAACATAAGGATACTTAAGAAGCAATTAAATTGCATCTTAGTTGCATACAGAAACATAATTTCAAGATTCAAATTAAGTTACTGGAAACTTAATATGTGCATGCAATGACAGATCCTGACATGTATGATTAAAAGAGCAAGCTTCCACTATCACTGACAAATACTCTGACAGTAACAAAACCAAACACACAGCCACCGTTAATACTTAACAAACCTTTGATATCATAGCCCTACACGTGTACAGCCAAACTCTATATAAGCAATGTACTGCAATGAACAGTAACACAGGTCTTTACATTAATGTGAAATATTTCTGCTATTGTATTATTTCCTGTATAGCTTTTTAGATCTGCTTACACAGTGCATAACAAGCACCGTCTTCATGGCATCAGAGCAGATGCAAGACAAAGCCCTCTGTACTATCGCAATGGCCCGTTCATTGTCCTCACAAGTAGCAGAGCACGCCGCTGACAACTCCACAGAACCCATACACATTCCCTCTTCCCTGAATCTAGTTCTTTCCAACATCAAAACCATTGTACCCATCTCCCTTTCTAATGACAACTAACCTATGTAAGGGATCCCAGATTCTCAAGCACTGCGAGCAAATGGCTTCACCGGATACCTAGATCATACTGATGTTTGACCTCCGTGTCTTCAACATCAATCCGATGACAGTACCGTTCCCAACCCCTGCTACACCCAGTGGCTCCTTGTTGACCAAAATCTAGCAACATCTATATGCTCCACCATATCTGCCTCTATTCTACCCTACGTTCTTCATCTCGACGCCTACTTAGAAATTTGGAGCACACTCGAACAACTTCAAGCCTCTAATCGCTTAAGAGTCATTCAATTGAAAAATGAGCTCCACAATATCTCCACGAAGAAATTCACCATGGCACAATATCTCACATCAATCAAAACATTAATCGACAATATTGCAGCAGTTGGTTCCACAGTCGATCCTAAAGACATTATCCTTTACATACTCAATGGTTTACCGCCTTCCTACCAAGCGTTTAAGACTTCTATTCGCACAAAACTAATACCAGTCAGTCTGGACAATCTCTATTCTCTACTCATCAATGAAGAAATTAATCTAGCTGTCGAATCTTCATGAGAATACCAATCGGCTGATCCATACACAACCCTGTATGCATTTTGAGGTCGAGGTCGAGGTCGCAGAGGCAAAGGACGATTCTCTACCAGCTCATCCATTGTCAGTCGCTCCAATCTCTCTTCCACAACTATCTGCCAAATCTACACTAAGCGTGGCCACTCAGCCCAACAATGCTGGCACCGTCTCAACGTCAACAACCCTCGCAACTCCTCGAAGGCATCATCCAAGGCTCTGGTTGCAAATGCTTCATCCCCCATCACTCGACTAGTACATCGAATCTGATATTATCACATCTGACTCACTCACAGGACAATATCGTGCAACCAACTCAATACCAAGGAGCGAACAGCATCACTGTTGACCATAAATACTAATATTCAAAGAAGACTTCTAAATCGTTGATCGACCTTGAAAATTTTCTAAGGTATTAAGAATGCAATTTTAAATCTTACTATATATCTTTGTTAATGTTGATTAAAGGCATTAACCTATACGTGATGAGGACATCAGATTTCGACACGTGTATCATCGGAGAAATCGTAGATCGACAGCTATGATTCAGAGTCTATATCTTTGATTTATTTTCATGTATTTTTCTATTTTGATATTTTCAGTTTACTAGTTTACCCCTATGGATGTTGAGTCCTTGTTGTAGCCCTTGGGGCATATGAGTCTTTTGTGTTTGTCTTTTGTTGAGACCTATATATAGAGGTCCTTATCTTTGTATGAGGTTAATGTTGAATGAATAAAATTTCATATTTTGAGTTCTTGATTGTGAGAGCTTGAGAGGTGAGGAGTAACCTAGGAGAGGCTCAACGAAATACCCAACAACCCCATTTGTGGGAGCTCTTGGTTCCTATCATCTTCTTCCACTTCTTCCTTCTCCCCTAGCCGCCGGCTCCCCAAAACCAGCCACCACCTGACCGAACAGCAACCCGCCCCCTCCCCTTTCCGTTAATCACTAGATCCCGCCCTTCCTACCTTCCGTCCGGCCCCACTTCCCCCACCACCACCCGCCGAAGCCAAGACCCGAAGCCGTCGGCCCCCATAGAACCCCCACCCGCCAGCCAACCAAAATCAAACCTTGGAATTTGATTTTCAAATTCAATTAGGCTTTCATTACTTTCCAAATTTCGTTCCTTTGTCATTTAGGAAGTTTCATATTTGAAATTCAATTTGAAATTTGAATTTTAAATCCCTCCTTAAATGACAAAACCCAATTAGGAAATTCTTCATATCTAATCAAATCTGAATTTAATTCAGAATTTGATTTATTTATTTATTCAATCACATGGGCCCCACTCACATTGAATTTAGACACAAAAATAAATCCCCATGAGGCCGGCCCCTATGTCCTCCCTCCCTCTCTCAACTTTGCCACCTAAGCAACATTTAATTTCCCCCTAATTCCCTCTAGTAACTGCCGGCCCCATTACTCCCTTAATTGGGTTGATTTGAATTTCAAATTAGCCCTCCCCCTTTAATGAAAATCTGAAATTAAACTTCAGATTTTTCCTCTCATCTCCTTTCCCCCAAACTACTTGATTCAACCAAAAGAAACCCTAACCCTAGCCACCCCCTCAACCTCTCAAGTCATGTCCCATCATCCCCTCCCTTTCTCCTCACCAATCTCAAGTGTGCTCTTCCCCAACCATTGCCACCACTATGCAGGGCCGATCCGGAAGTCAACCATGGTTTCTTATTTGATGATCAAGGACAAACCAACATCCTTGAATCTCCTTTCTTTGATATGAAGCTAGACGTGGATTCGTCTGTGGAGGATTACTTACATCGCATCTTGTTTACACTAGTACTTTCCATTGAGGGGCACATTCTTCCCGGACGTTGGATGTTCACTAGTCATCCCGTGGATTCCCCGTCACCGGCTACTTCCCCAACGGACTATCCTTTGGGCACCATTTGTCTCTTAGTGGCATTGCTCGGTTTGCTCTCAATCTTCCTCCGTTTAGGCCCCACAGTCAAAAGCATGAGCGAGGAATCCAAGGTGAAGAGTTCTATTTGTTAGCCGTGGATTATTGTTTTTGCCATAACATTACTCTCTCTATTTTTATGTTGTTAACTTGATAGCATCCCGTTAATCTAGTTATAACTATATGCTTTGCATAGTCTCTAATTGATAATTCTGAAAACCTAACTTGGGTAAGCATTAAATCTATAACTAGCAAAGTTTTAATAATCTTATTAAAATCCCCAAACAATTCTTGTTCCGTTGCAGGGTTTCACATCAATACGATTTTAAATTGCATTATTAATTAATTCTTTTTATTGACCTGAATAATATCCTACATATACATGATGATGCAACCAGCTTAAACCCTAATATACAAGATGACTAGTTATGATTTCATAATGCAACAAACATAAAGTGTAGTGGGATTACATTTTAAGAAAATTTGAGGATTTACACATCACCCGTTACCAATTAACCAACAACTCACTTTCTTCAAATCAAAATGAAAAGTACTATCCTTCGAGCTCAGATAATAATGAAATAATTGTAAATTTTCTAGAATTTTAGAAGAACTTTGAAACACAAAAAATTAGTAAGAAAAAAATTAATCTGAAAAAAAAAATCAAGCATATCATTTTTTGACCAAAATCAAGAACACCGAGTTGTTGTTCCTTCTTTGAGGCAATCCTACCCCTAACGAATAGCTACACGACTTTCCCTAGTTTCCTTCTTTGAGACTAGAAAGCAATCTGGGCAAAAAAAAAAGCGATGATATTGCTCCATTCACTAATGAGGCTATCAAGGCTTAAGTTAGATCATCTTGCTTAAAGAGCACATTTCAATTTAGATTCTGTGGGTAGAGCTACATGTAGGTAAATAACACCTAAACTAAAAATATTTAAAATCAAGAATGAGTGGTTGCTTGCCTACTTCCAGCTTTGCTTTATGTGGTTAGAGTATGGAATGGGTATGCAAAACCTAAGCCAAAACCCATTTATAGATTCCCACTGGAGATTTATCTATCTATTTCAACTCAAACTAGGTCCAAGATCTTTTACCCTGAATAGCTCCCTAAGATGAAACATATTTCGCATAAACAAAACTTAAACCTAAATCTCAAGTTTTCATTGTGTTGTCCCTACTTTGTAGACATCTCAACTAGACCAATAGAGCTGAATTCAAGTTACTAAGATTAAGATTGGCCCGATATCAACTATCCTCAACTTCAAACCTATTTTGAAGAAAATCAAATCTTTCCCAAAGAAGTTTGGGTTAATTAATATTTACCAAAGCAATCTTGCTTACTTAATAATGCCTACCCTAAAGATAATCAAGCCTTCCACAAAGAGTTTGATGTTAAAGAGAAAAAAAATTCATGTAGCCGACCCCACGTAATAGGATAAATCTTGATGTTGTCATTATTGTTGTTGTAAATAAAGATATCAATGCTAACACTGAAATAGAAATTGAATTGGCTGCAACTTCTTCTTCACAATAATTCAAAAAAAAAGAAGTGAGATTGCAACATTGCAAAATTTTAAAGATAATTTAATTATAATGAATTATTTAGTTGCATTATTAAAAAAAAATAGTTGCATTATTAAACTATTAACATTTTATTTTATTTTAAGTTATATTAAATACAATGTTCATTAATATATAGAGTAAAAAAATTATAGTGACTGAAGAAGATTTTGAAGATGACGATGAGACCAAATTAGAGGATAACAGAATTGTTACATGTAATGATTCTTTTGAAAATGTTGAAAGTGAAGGAGAGGATGTTGGGAATCTTAATCCTCATCACATTAAGATTTTCAACGAGTCTTATTCGAAGCTTATTTCACGCTTTCACTTTAGAGATTTATTTATTTTTTCTTCTTATATGATTTTGTGATTTATGATGATGAATTATGTTAGTTTATCTACAATTTATGGCATATTTACAAATTATTTTTAATTTTATGATCTTTAAAATATTTTTGTTTGAGGCATATGTCTTGATCCTCCTCAAGCCTTAGGCCTCACCTCACTAAAATAGTATACCTTCATTCTCCTTTTTAAATCTTGGTTACGAAGATGAGATTCAAGCTTTGTGGATAGTTAGAGTCAGGATGGCATTATATTTGCTTGAAAACAATATTCTTGATTTCGAAGCTACTCAATTCTCTGGTTAGAATCTTCTTGAATCTTCCTAACAACTCTTATAAGATCCTCTCAAACTCACTAACTCTTCTTGGCATTTAAAATTTACTCTCGGCAACATGCCAGTCCACTCAAGATTCCGCGTGACAACATTGTAGACCCCTAAGAATCTCCCTTAGTAACTTTCCAGTCTTGTTAGTATGTCTTTCGTGCATCTTCTTAACAAGTTAATTGATTTCCTGATCACACACCCACATATGCATACGCACGCATATGCATATGAAAAGACTACTATCCCTCTACATGAGCAAAAACTTTTTTCCATGAGCTTTTTTTAGCTTATTTTTCACTCATGCAATGATGACAACTTACATAAAATTACAAGATAATTTAGTTATGCATCAAGCATATGAATGTAACACTATGATGGATATTCTACATGGTGAGACAAACAAATTCGTTCATTTAATGGAGCAGTCAAATAAAATGGAAATTTTTAAGCATGTATGAACTCACATATGCAATATTTTGAACTTCCAATGGCTTTCATTCCCAAAATTTATATATAGTTAGGGGTGTCAATTTTGGGTCACGGGTCCTGTTTGGGTTTGAACCTGAAACTGACCCGGCACTATTCGGGTCAACCCGAACCCGACCCATTTTTGAAAACGGGTTAGTTTTTCTGACCTGAACACGACCCACTTTGGGCCCGGGTCAACCCGACACAACCCAAATTACCCGGGGCCAACAAAATATTGCTAGTTTTCAAGTCATAAAATGGGTCAATCTCTGATTTTCGAGTAAAAAATGAGTCATTCTCGGGGTTTCTGGATAAAAAATGGGTCAATTTTGGGTTTATGGGTCAACCCGAACCTGACCCGTTTCAGGTTCGGGTTGACCATAACCCGGAAATTTTGAGTCTGATTCGTTTCGATTTTTCGGGTCATGTTAAGTATTGACACCCCTATATATAGTAATAGTTTTAAAGACAAGTCATTATTTTTTAATCATGTTTGCTTAATAGGTCAAATATTTAAGAAAATTGATCGAATTAAATCATCAAGTAGTTCTTACGTTGTAAAATCAATATGAATATTTTGGTTCTTATTCTTGAAGGTTATGAGAAAGAAGACAATAAAAAGATAGTACATAATATATACTATGCATATATAATGCTCATTTCTAATATCTAGGAATAACCAAATAACAACAACAACAACAACATCAAGCCTTTGTCCCACTAAGTAGGTTGGCTATATGAATCCTTTTTCGTCATTGTGTCCTGTTAAAAGTCAAATTCTTATTTAAATCTAATAAAGAAATATCATTTCTAATATTTTCTAACCAAGTTTTTTTAGGTCTACCTCTACCTTTCTTAACATAAGACAAATCTAAAACCTCAACTTTCCTAACCGGGTCAACGGAAGGCCTCTGTTTAATGTGACCAAACCATCTAAGGCGACTCTCTCTAATCTTATCTTCCACTGGAGCTCCAACCTTTTCACGAATATGATCATTTCATATCCTATCTCTAAGGGTAAAGCCACTCATCCACCTGAGCATCCTCATCTCTGCAGCACTTAACTTAGTTTTATGCTTCTCTTCTAATGGCCAACATTCGGCACCATAAAGCATTGCCGGTCTCACCACCATCTTATAGGAATAAAGCCACTGAAAATTATGAAAGACAGATTAATCAAATCAGAGCCCATTGCAGGACTTTGGCAAACCTCAACGAAGTTCTTTATTGTAAGAAAAGCTGAAGATCCAGAGCAAAAATGTTACCCAAATATCAGAAAAAGAAAAAAAAAATCTTTCTCGACCTTCACCCAGTATAATTAAATCAGTAAGCAGAAAGAACCTGGATTCTAGAAACACTACGTGCAACAAAAAGACAGAAAAAAGTTAACTGATCATCCAAATCTTTCCTCTCCTAGTCTCCTTCTAAGCTAATTGAATGGCAGCAAAATCTATCCGATGCAATCACCAAGGAAACGGGTCAAAAAGCCTTTTTTTTTTTCCTACAGGAACTAAAATTCGCGCGGAGAAAGAGAAACCGAGAGCCGGGAGCCCATCAAAAGGCACCAAATACACCGAGTAGGCAGAATAATACCTCGAATCGTTTCCCTCCAAACAGGAAATATCCTGAGCCCGGCGGCGTGGATATCTAGGGTTTCTCCATGCCCCTGCTGTAAGAGAGAGAGAGAGAGAGAGAGATAAGCAACAGCTAGCGCCGGAGCAAAATGGACATAAAAGAGACGAAATACAACTAGTGCGTTAGAAGCTCTGTGCGCTAAGGATAGCCGTTGATGTGCGGGGACGGTGGATAAACGAGAGCGCGTATAAATTTGTATGCGTACAACCGTTGAGTACTAAGCGGGATGAAGAAGAAGGCGGGAGTGCCACGTCATTGGCGTCGTCCATTTCCACCGTGCAACGGGAGTGGATCCCTCTGATATTTCTACGCTACGCTCGGGTACCGGTCGGCAGTCTGCCCTTTTTATTTTTTTAAATATTTTATCGGTCCAAGTGGTCAAATATGCGCAATATGATAATATAGAATAAAGGGGCAGAGATTAATAAATCAATTATATTATATGTATTTGATATAGCAAAAATAATAAAAATTATCAATTAAAAAAGATAGAGGCTCAACAAATGAACTGAATATCAATTTAATAATCTAATAATAGGTTTCATAAAATATAGAAAATTAATATAAAAAGTAAGATAAATTAGGAATTCATGTGGAAATAAAGATTGTAAATTTCTATAAAAATTTCATGCTTGAATTTTTATTTCATAAATTTGAGCCTCATATAAAGTAACAAATAACTCATGGTGCAATGGTTAGATTCAACTGTAAGCAAAAGGAATTTGTAATGAAATTATGGAGCATTGGTGGAAGGCTCTTGATGCATTGTACAGTGTAGCTGCATGCAAAAATACACCCTTGCGGGCTAAATACTAAAGATAGCAGTGACATATATGAGAAGAATGAGCCAACTAGCACTATATATATGCAAAATTATATGTTTGCATGAGTTCCGACGAGCATGATATAAGCACATATGTGGCATCTGAGGATGTTGTGCGGGTCAAAAAAGTGAATTTAAATTCGAGCTCGATTTTTCTGTGAATATATAGGTGTCGATACGGCTTGAGCTGTCAAATAAGTATACGGCTGTGATATTGACCAAGATATATATTTCATAAATTCATACTAGGCCTTCAAGATCTATTACTAAGAAATTCACTAATAAAAGCATAAAGATAATAACGAATTTGATCCTCTGCAGTAAGTAAACATAATTGGCAATGTTCAACCAACAGAAAAAATTGCCTATAAATACTTTGATAATGGTCGTATTAACTGAAAATTTCAACTGGATGGGACCAAAAACATATGAAAATGCTTCTAAAACTCCCAAATGCCCATAAAATTTTCAAAATAAAAAAACGTCAAAATTCAAGATATTTAATTTTGAAATTAACTATCAATCATTTAAAGCAAATTCATGTGGAAATAAAGATTGTAAATTTCTATAAAAATTTCATGCTTGAATTTTTATTTCATAAATTTGAGCCTCATATAAAGTAACAAATAACTCATGGTGCAATGGTTAGATTCAACTGTAAGCAAAAGGAATTTGTAATGAAATTATGGAGCATTGGTGGAAGGCTCTTGATGCATTGTACAGTGTAGCTGCATGCAAAAATACACCCTTGCGGGCTAAATACTAAAGATAGCAGTGACATATATGAGAAGAATGAGCCAACTAGCACTATATATATGCAAAATTATATGTTTGCATGAGTTCCGACGAGCATGATATAAGCACATATGTGGCATCTGAGGATGTTGTGCGGGTCAAAAAAGTGAATTTAAATTCGAGCTCGATTTTTCTGTGAATATATAAAACATATGAGCATTGGTGGAAGTCTCTTGATGCATCATACGGTGTAGATACAAGCAAAAATACACCCTTACGGGCTAAGTACTGAAGAAAGTAGCGACATATAGGAGATGAATGAGCCTAATAACACTATATATATGCAAAATTATATACCCGCAAGGGCCCTGACAAGCGTGATATAAGCACACATGCGACGTCTGAAGATGATACACAAATCAAAAAAGTGAATTTGAGCTCGAGCTCGATCCTTCTATGTGGATATATAGGAGTTGACATGGTTCGAGCTGTCAACAAGTATACGAGTGCGATATTGATCAGGATATATATTTCATGCATTCATACTAGGTCTTCAAGATCTATTACAAAGAAATCCACCAATAAAAGCATAAAGTTGATAACGAATCAAATCTTTTGTCAGCAAGTAGACATAATCGACAAGGTTCAAGCAATAGAAAATTAAAATGCAAATAAATACTATCATAATGGTCGTGTTAAGTGAAAATCTCAACCGGAGGGGACCACAAATATAAAAAATGCCTCATAAACTCCCAAATGCCCATAAAATTTTTTAAATCAAAAAATGTCAAAATTCAAGATATTTAAATTTGAAATTAACTATCAAACACTTAAAACAAAATTCATATATTCACCCTCCGCAACAGTTTGTCAAGGTGAAAAAATTTTAAAAATTACTTCAGCTCATGAAGAATTAATTTCTGATCGATAATTTCAATATAATTCATTCTCAATCTATCTTTTGTCAGAAATGATGTAGCATGTGTCTTCTAACTTGTGGTTTCACTGCCAAATTGCACAACACCGATGAGTTTGCCTGCTAAATGGCATCACAGGTAATGGTCAGAGCCCACATGTTCCCCAATGACTTCAAATTCTTGAGATATTAATCAATATAATATAATTGATAGGGCACAAAAAGATCTCTGTTAGCTAAGGTGGCTTCAAAATATATATTTGTCCCCTTAGAAAAATATTCACCCTAGATCTATAAGGTACCATTGGACGAAGCAATCCATGACTACCGACAAGAATTCGTCTATTAGGTTGGGTCGACTACCTCCTCTAACTATGTTGACTAGGGACCATGTGGCCCAAGATGATAGAACCATGAGATCTTGATCGGGTTCATCATCACTCCCCCATCATCCCCTTTAAATGCAAGGTGGTAAATTTTTAATTTTAAATATGAAATATTAAATACCAAATCATGCTCCTACTATACCAAATCTTATATATATATATATACAGAGAGAGAGAGAGAGAGAGAGAGAGAGAGAGAGATTTCATAAAACAAGTCAGTAGTCAATGCATCTTACGCTAACAACTTCTCAGATTAGCACATCAAAGTCACTTAACATAAAAGTTTTTGTACTCAATCGTACATGCCATTTTAATGATGTTCAAGAGATAAGGGATATTGATTTTACTTCTGAATATCATAACATCAAAATCTACATGGGAGTAGAATATGATTCTCCTAATCAGAGAGAAAAAAAACCATCATATAATGGATAAAATTGCCTTATTTGAAGATGAATAAGATAATAAGAAATATTTTCTTAATAATGTGGGACAGCTACTAAACACATCATTTTCAATTCCTTCTTGATCCATCAATAATTCCTTAGTTACATATAAATCATGGCTAGAGGCACAAACCAGAATCAAGTTTAGGAAGCTCATAATAAATAGAGCTTTGTCTCTAAAAATCTTTCTCTTGATGATGATGATATCTGTAGCTCTTATTCTTGATGAACACAATGATTTCTATTATCATTCTTCTTTTGTCATTAGTTCAGAAGATCGTAAATATCTGATTACTTAAATTTATTTTTCTTTCCGAAAAGAAATCATAGATCTATCACTACTTATATACTACCCTTACGTCTAATGATTGATTTCAAGCATGTTTTGATCGTCTGACAAAAGCAACTTGCAGGAAAAAACTGTTTCTGTATATTCTTATACGTTTTCTTAGCAGAATTTGAAGAGAAATGCTCAAAATAAAAGGCATTTAAATATGTACTGCAAGCAACACCAATGAATTAGCTTTATAAGCATTTTGTCTGTTTCTATTTTTATTTGAATGTAATTCGTTTGAGTAGTTACCCTGTAATTTTGACCTTATTTCTTCTTATCTTGACATTAGAATATCAGAATCTCTTGATTTAATTTATTTCAAATAAAATACTACCATGAAAGCAAAGTTAACGGCCTACAATGAGCAAGGTCTTCTACATTCCAAGAGCAAAGACATGAGAAGAGGAAGAAGGAAGAACCGAGGAAAGTTAATTTGTGAGGGAAGCATCCTAGTAACTTCTGGTAATATTCTTAATTGATAATAAAGTACAGACATGTCCACAAGTGGTGCAAGCAACTTTGGTCAAGTTTGTATACTTCTGTAGTCAACTGAGTGACTTCCAAATTGAAGGTGCAAATTATTTCCTTGTTCTAATTTAATTTAATGTAAGAGGTGAAGAGTTAGGTAAGAGTTTGATTTTTGGGAATTTCTTAATAGAAGCTTTTGAACCATCGGATAATGCATCATACCGGAGTTCCGTAGGGTTCTATATTGGATCCAAATTTATTTGTAGATAACACCCGAACTTACTGGTAGATCGAATTTGTGAGCCAGCACCCTGAAACCTGTGTGAGAATGGAGAAAAAGTGGGCTTGGTAACATGAGGCTGGGCTTTGACACAATGGTTGGGATTTCTTATGTCACATTGAAGTTGGGTAAAGCTGTGCTTACATTAACCCTACTTAGAACTCACAGTAGTGAGAGTTTTATAGAGTGTATATAAGTTTGTATGGTGTAAATGTTAGAGATATTAAACTAATTAAACATGAAAAAATTGAAGCTTAAATTTTAAACAACTCAAAAATTATAATTGTCCTGAGCTTTTTCTTTTTGTCGCCTTAAAAATTGCTTTCTTTTTCATTCAGAATTATTCAAATATCATATGTAAGAGCTTGGCCATGAGAATAGAGAATAACCACAAGGGGTGAGCCTTGTGGAAGCTTTAGATTTCATTTGGAACGGCTTTCTTACTGCTTCTTAAAACAGCTTTCTAGTACAAAAAATTTTAATATTTGTAAATTTTGTACTAGAAAATTACTTTAAGAAACAGTAAGAAAACTGTCTTAAATGAAGCCTTAGTTAAACAAAGGCCAAAGCAAAAATCCTGCAAGCAATGACTGAAGCATGAAAGTATCACTATAGCTGCTTTTCATTCAGAATTATGCTGAAACAATGAAGTAGACCAAATATTTCTGAAAATCTGATGATATAGTATGTATTTGGAGTCTGCACTGTCAGGTGGTGGTCCAGCAGAAGTCTGAGCCTCAAGTGGTGGTCCGGTGGAGGTGAAGGCCTCAAGTGGTGGTCCGGCGGAGCAACGACGTCAGACGATGGTCGACGGAATTTCATGCCTCAAGTGGTGGTCTAGCAGAAGTATGGGCCTCAAGTGGTGGTCCGGCGAAGCAACGACGTCAGGCGATGGTCCGACGGAATTTCATGCCTCAAGTGGTGGTCTAGCAGAAGTATGGGCCTCAGGTGGTGGTCCGGTGGAAGTCTGGGCTTCAGGTGGTGGTATGGCAAAAGTCTGGGCCTCCGGTGGTGGTCCGACAGAAGTCTGTAAAGCTAGAGAAAAACTGTAATAAGTGTTCAAGAGGCTCATAATCAGTGAAAACAAGATCCAATAGATTCCAAAGATAAAAAAGATCTAAAAGATGCAAAATGGTCATATGTACCATTTATTTGTTGAATTTAGGGGGCTACATGAAAGGTTATACCCATAAAAAAAGAGTACAATGCTATATAGATTACCCTAGTCCAGACTTTAGCAGTGGGCTTGGTAACAAGAGGCTGGGCTTTGAGCCTTTGACACATTGGTTGGGACTTGGGATTTCTTATGTCACATTGAAGTTGGGTAAAGCTGTGCTTACATTAACCCTACTTAGAACTCACAGTAGTGAGAGTTTTATAGAGTGTATATAAGTTTGTATGGTGTAAATGTTAGAGATATTAAACTAATTAAACATGAAAAAATTGAAGCTTAAATTTTAAACAACTCAAAAGTTATAATTGTCCTGAGCTTTTTCTTTCTGTCGCCTTCAAAATTGCTTTCTTTTCATTCAGAATTATGCTGAAACAGCAAAGAAGCTAGACCAAATACTTCTGAAAATATGATCATACAATATGTATTTGGAGTTCTGCACTGTCATTTGCATTATCGGTAACAAAATTATTTGCCATATAAAGTTGGATTGGAGATCACAATCATCATCATCAAACAACAATATCAGAAGTTTCCACTTTTTTACTTTAAATAATGAAACAGACAGTACAAAGTTGGTAAAAAATGTATAGGAAATTTTTTTTTGTCCAACTTATTTTTTCCTTTAAACATTATAGAAATACTATTATTTCAAGTACTAAATTAAGGCAAAACATTTGATTGGAGTGCTGCTAAGGCTTCCATTGGGGTGGCTTTTTTAATGCTTTCTAAAACAACTTTTTTGTATGAAAATTTTTAATTCACAAATTTTTTGTATTCAGAATCTGTTTTAGAAAGTTGTTAAAAAATCATCTCAAACGAAACATAAATTTAACATTCATTTCGTTACCTCTTTTCATTTTTAAAAGCTTTTCAATAATAAAACAATATGGGAAAAGAAATTTTTTTTTTTTTTAATCTCTAATGAGTTAAATTGTACTTCACTCCTATTTTATCTTTGATTAAAGAAATATAATCAATGAAAAATTACTATTCTGCTTCACTTAGATATAATTTAAGAATAACAAAGTGAGAAGAGATTTAATAACTTCATATAAATATATATCACTCGCATAACTCAGCATGTTAACTTCGTGTTTATTTTTTAGAATGTATATATCAAGGAACAAAAAAATAAAATTAAATATCAGAGATCATTCAAATATGAAAGGATGAGTATATGATTCGAAAGAACCAACTAAGAGGATTTGACCCTAAGAAAATTAGGATGCCTAGAAGGAACTCTAAATTTTATGTTGGGCTTTACATTTTAAGAATATGATTATATTTAATTATATATTAAAGTTAATTATTTTTAATGAGACTATGAGGTTTACACTCTTTTCATAATGACGACTACTTCATTAGAGATCGAAAGAGAACTAGAACATCACTAAGTGATATTGGTTTTGAGCCTAAATCTATAGTAAGGACTTAACTTACCACTATAATACAATCTTTTTTCTAATCTAATATAGGCGACAAGAATAATACTTACAACTCAAACCCTCACTAAAGGCTAACAAAGCCTACATGGTCATACAATCCTACCTAGAAAGAACATCTATCTAGGCCAATTAAGACGAACTTACACACACATCACATACACAAGACTCTCAGCTAACAAACTAAGATGAGCTGCATACTTCAAGTGAACTTACTCAACCAAATAGGAGGACTCAACCAAACAAGAGGATTGACTCTTAACGTATTTAAAAACAAAGAATATAAGCTTTTTAGACGATCAGATAAAAAACTACGTACCCCCATGACCCATTGTCCCATCTACTATTTATAAAATAGAAATAAACAATCAAAATCTGTAGCTGAGGGAGTAGTTGGAAAAGTGTTCTAGTGTTGATATTATAAATAATTTGAAGAACCAAAAGAACAAAAATTCCTTTATTCGCACATCCAACCATTGCAATAGCGATAAGTTACTAAGTAACAAATGAGGCATGAATAAAATAATAAAGATAAGATAACCCAAAATGGACACAGCATGGGTTAATATTGCTGTGCTGCTCCTCTTATAGTTTTAAAATAAGAGAAATAAGAAAGAAAAATAGTTTAATAAGCTCATATGATTAAGTATCAGTCATGCAATCCAGCATTTTAACTCATCGAGATATGTTCTTGGACTGTGAGTGAGATAGTATATTACTTTCTTGATGAAATATTATGAACGCTATGCTTTGTCTATCATGGCAGTCCGATCTTTGCTATTTGGTATGAAGAACACCTATAAATGATATGATGAATAAGAATTTGAGTACATCGAATTGTTGGAATCTATTATACGCCCCCCGTTTATTACTAGATAGATGAGTCAAATAGATGTAGTAACAAAATTCAAACAGTTTCTCTCATGCTGAGGTTTTAAGTTTCTTGACTGAATATGAGAATATTTAGGTTTCATTTGGGATAATTCTTTCAGTACTTTCCACAACAAATTTGAGTACAAAATTTCTTGAAAACGGCAAAAAAATAGTAGATAAAAGTTGTCTCAAACGAAGGCTTAACCACTAATGTCGTCGCCTCTAATTTGGGAAAATTATTATGTGTGCGGGGACGCCGAATGCATCCAGAGGCCAATCCAGAAGTACCATGTCACCTAATACACAGTGCATTGGGTGACGTGGCGCGCCCGAATTGACTTCCGTACGCATTCTCATACGTTATAATCTCTCCTAATTTTGGCCCGTAATCTGATTATGACATAAGAAGTGAGATTAGTGCAGATAATTTAACTACAATCAAAAGTTATTCGATCTCTATCATAGTTGAGCAATTAAGATTCGAAAACGTTCATCAATGTGAATACTTTTTACTTCAGAGAGAGAGAGAGAATGCGGATGAGAGTCTTATATGCACAATCACATAATGAATAATTGCATGACATATTAGTATAGAAATACAAAATTTTATAAAAAATAATAGATTTCATTGATATAAAGTAAAGTTCTAACTTCAAAATTTAGCAGCTAAACGCAAAGACAATAAATTAACACAATCTGCTTCAATCACAAAAATAATTTCCTTAACAACTAAAATTTGAATTGAAAAATCAAATTTAATTATCTTACGAAACAGCATTAAGATGATTTTGCATGTAGTTTAAGCCCTTAAAGTTTTAAAATTTTAAGAAAATTTCTTAGTCAGTTTTTGTCCCAATAAATATCTCATAAACATTACTGCCTACTTAATATTTAAATCTAAGAGAAAAAGTAATAAAGCTAATGAACTTAGTTGTAGTTCGAGCCAACTTAAGGCTATATATTTCCCCCTTACCCAAGTCGCATGACACACAAAGGAAACATCTCTTAAAGCATCAAAACCTTGAAGCTTCTCCAAATCAAAATGCAAGGAGCTAAAGCATGCAAGAAAAACTCCCATCTCTTATTCTCCTTTCTCCTCCTCCTTTCCTTCCATCTAACTCTGAGCCTTGCAGACAAAAAAGCAATATCCAAAGACCAGCCATGCAAGCACATGGTACTCTACCTTCATGACATAATATTCAATGGCACCAACGTAGCTAACGCAACATCTGCTCAGATTGCAGGCAGTAAGCCTCCTCTTGGTGACTTCTTCTTTGGCAAATTTGTCGTTTTTAATGACCTAATCACTGGCGACCACCATTTGCTTTCACCTCCCATTGCTCGGGCACAAGGCTTCTTCTTCTATAACATGAAGACGGATTATAATGCATGGCTTGCTTATACGTTGGTGTTCAACTCCACAGAGTATAAGGGGACTATCAATATCATGGGGGCCGATTTGATGATGATGGAAACTAGAGATCTATCAGTTGTGGGTGGTACTGGAGATTTCTTCATGACAAGAGGAATTGCAACGTTGAGGACTGATACATTCGAGAATATTGACTATTTTCGTTTGAAGATGGATATTAAATTATATGAATGCTATTGAAATGAATTGGCATCAGATCTTTGATGCATGCGTATATCAGCTTGTGTTGAGATAGTAAGGTTATTATGTTATGTGTTATGTATCTCATTTCTCTTTATTAAAAGTATGTGTCTTGCCCAGCTAGAGAGCTTAGGCTTTCAACTAAGAGGTCTTGGGTTTGAGTCTTTGTGTATGCGTTGTGTGAGTGAGTTTGCCTTGAATGGCCTAAATGTCCCAAAAAAATATATGTGCCTTTGTTTACTATCTTGTATCCTTTTCTCTGCTAAAGTGCCTAGAACTCTCGTTCAACCAATGCTAAGCAACAAAAGCAGCAGTCTAAGGCTTCATTTGGGACGGTTTTTTTACTGTTTGAAATAGTTTTTTATCACAAAATTTTTAATTTTTATACTAAAAAGCTGCTGTAAGAGGCAGTCAGAAAATTATCCCAAATGAAACTTAAATCTTCTTCCTTCTTTGTTAATTAAAGCTACCATAATTATAACTGATTATTATTGAAATTAGACAAAAAAATTATTTGTGCAGCACTCAATTCTTAATTATTATTAATATACCTTTTGTTTTTTTAAGTGAGTGATTAATTATAAAATATGTGATTTGAACTGTGATATTAACATTCTCCTCTAATAAGTGAGTCACGAATCATTTCCCTATATATACCATTTGTGCTAGTAAACATTTACATACCACACTTAATATCTAATTGTTATGATTTATAATTATTGATTTTGTAGATTAAGATGATATAAAATACTACAGAAAAAATGCCTATTACCGGCGGTTATAACCGACGGCTAAACAGCCGGAAAACCGCCGGTTGCAACTCCGGTTGTCACCGGCGGCTTATACCGCCGGAAAACCGCCGCCGAAATAAACCGCCGGTAAGTGTTTCCTACGCGATTTTTACCGGCGGTTTTAATGCCGCCGGTAAATAATAAAACCGCCGGTTAAACCATATTAACCGCCGGTTTTTGACGTTTTCCCTGTAGTGAAAGTAATTATATAAATATAGATGTAGTATATTAATAAATACAAAAATTGACAGTGATATATTGTTAAGACTTGAACAACATTTCACTTATAATAGTATAATTTAAATACGATTGTTATCTAAATAATAGCAAATGTAAAAGGAAATTACTAAATGGATTGTTGAAGGAATGAAAAAGTATTACATCAAATATGATAGGTATTTTGCTTAAAATGAACAAAATATATTTGATCTCTTGAGCATCATTTATGAATTGGGCCTTGATTTAGTGGTTCATATCCCAACTCTCAATTATACATTGTAGCTCATTTCTCAAAAAAATGTTTGGCATATTTTTTTCATTTGGCTCTTATACCGAAAGTTTATATCATTTAATAACTCATATTTAAATCTTGTTAACTGATTTTTTGACCCTTTATAAAATATATCTTAAGCATCACAAAATTGAATGGAGAAATAGAATTTGTACATCAATAATAAGTTTTGTTTGGGACAGCTTTCTTATTATTTTCTAAAATAATTTTTTTAGTACAAAAATTTCTTGAACTAGAATTTTTTGTACTAAAAAATTGCTTTATGAAGCAGCACTTTAGACTTTTAGTATAAATTTTTTTAGTTTAAAATTTTTTTGAACTAAAAAATCGATTTAAAAAGCACTACTAAGAAAGCCATCCCAAAAGAAGCATAAGATTTCATTTGGGATATCTTTCTTACTACTTTTTAAGCAATTTTTTAGTATAAATTTTTTTTTATCTATAAATTTTAATAGTAGAAAGCTGCTTTAGAAATCAGTAAGAAACCTAACCCAAACGAAGCTTAAGTAATTATAATAAAGCTAAAAAGGAATAATAAGGAAAATGTATACTCTACACATATTAGCATTTAAATTAGAACATTAAAAATAATGATGTGTTGCCCAAAAGAAATGCAAAGCTACACTTCTGGCAAGATGATTGGATTGGTAAAGGGTTTTCTTGACAGTTTGTTTAACACCCTCTCCATTTCTAATTTGAAGGTATATAACTTTATTCAAAATGGTAAGTGGGATATAAACTTACTTTTAGATCATATTCTCTCTAATGTTGTTGATACTATTAGTGATATTCCTACCAATACTAGTAATTTTGATCAACCTATTTTTAAACTTTCGACTAATGGGGATTTTTATATTTGTGTTGTGTGGAATTTTATAAGACCTAAATCTCCTTAAATTCCTATATTTGCTAAAATTTGGAACCAAGTTATTCCCACCAATATTGCTACATTCACTTGGAGGTTGTTGCATGGTTTTATCCTTGTTGATGAAAATTTGAGAAGGCAAGGGTTTTCATTGCATCAAAATGCCAATGTTGCTTTAAATATCAAACTATTCAGCATGTTTTTGTGGATGGCACTGTTGCTATTAATGTATGGTATTTATTGGATAAAGCTCTTGGCTTAAATATGAACTAAATTAATGCTTCTTGCTTCTCTGTTATATCTTACTGGTTTCACCTTAAACCTGCTAGTCATATATCTACGGTGATTCCATTGACTGTTTTTTGGCTCATTTGGATTGAAAGAAATAATTACAAACACCAGGGTAGGGTGTTAAGATGAGCTTTGACAAGATTATTATTGGTTTGAAAAATAAAATACATCAGCTGATGGGTGTGAAAAGGCTTCTTCCTAAGCACTTTAGGGGCAACATGAAGTGAAATTAAATCCTTTTTCGTGTTGTTATTGATGAAGTTTGCCTTAGAAAGCAGCTTATATTCTTGTTTTGGATGAAGCCTTCTTTGGCTCAATTCATGCTTAATATTGATGGTTCATTATCTAAATTTGGGGTTGGTTGTGGTGGTATTTCATGTTAGAGATCATCAAGGATCTGTGGTGCTTGCATTTGTTTCTTCTATCTCTACCCTAAGATTATTATTACTAAAACTATGGCTTTACATGTTGGCCTTAAGCTCTGTTTGGATCACAATATTTCAAAATTTTGGATTTAATATGACTCGATGATGTTAATTAATCTCATTTTGTCCAATAATTGTAACAATGGCTGTCTCTTCTATCTTTTCAAGAATAACAAGTCTTTGTTACAAAATTTTGATTATAATTTTAATCATGTTTGGAGAGAGGCTAACACTATGCTGATTGGCTTGCTAAGAAAGCTGTTGGCTATCATGATTTACATTTAGTCAACCTACATTATCACAAGCATCGTAATAAATGAAAAAGAGATGCTTAAAAATGATGAAGTATGGCTCAGCTTAGTTTCGCATGATCTGAATCAGTTAAGTGCTTTCATAAGTATTGTTATGCCCTAAAACATTCACATCGAAGGAAAGATAAAGAGCTTAGCATGCTAACTTTAATTGAATATCAAACATACATACAAATAAAGAGAGAGGGGGCGAGGTGCAAGAGTCATAAGATACATTATAATTTTTACATGAAAAATCCTGAAAAAGGAGAAAAACCACAGGATCTTATACAGTTAAAATGAATCCACTAGTGTTTATTGTTGATTACAAATGATACCCTTTATTGGGGGAAGGTTTTAGCTCAATATATAAAATGTAGAACACATTATATAGTTGGGGTTGGAAGAATTCAATGATATGAGAGTTATTCTCAAATAAATGTTGACCTATTTGTTTGGTTGATAGGATAATAGTTGGGCGACAGAGGTCAGGGGACCATAGTCAGGCGACTGGGGTTGAAGGGATTGTAGTCGGGCGATAATGGTCCCAGGGACGACCATAGTCGATGAGGGACATTCATCGAAGGGACTGTAGTCGGTGAGGGACGGTGGCCGAAGGGACTGTACTCAACTAGTGACATGGTCGTAGGGACGGAAGTTGACGGGTGACAATGGTCAGAGTGATCGTAGACGGTGGGTGGGGGTGGTCAGAGGGATAGTAGTTGACTAGCGACGGTGGTCGGAGGGACCATATTCGATGCGTGACAGTATTTGGAGGTAACATAGTAGGTGGAAAAGGGTGATCAATGTGACTAGCTAGTCGGCGTGCGAGGGTGGTCTGATGGATCGTAGTTGGCGGGCAACAAAGGTTGGAGGGTCGTAGTCAACGGGTGACAGTGGTCGGAGGGATTGTAGCCGACGAGTGACAATGGTCGGAGGGATCGTAGTTAGTGGGCTTCAGAGATCAGATGAATGACCAACAATGGTTATCGGATTGAGGTCTCATAACGATGATCAGGCAGAGGTCCAACACCAGCAGCCTGGTGGTGCGAGTTCATTAGCCATGGTACCTGGGTAGAGTCATGGGATTCTTTAAGCCCCAAAGTTCTCTTGAGTTTCTAGCTCAAGATCTAAGCCTACAAAAGTCCAAGCCTCCTTTCATGTGAGAAGAGTGGGTTTATTTATAAATTTTGAGAGTGACATGTCCCGTAAATAGGAGAATATCCATGGTAAATTCAAAGTGGTCCATCAGACGATCCATACTAATTTCCTCAACCATGAACTATTTATTTAACATTTATGTGCTTTAATGATGTAAGAATTTAGCGATCTTGGGCTCATTGAATTCATCTCGTTGAGCCCCTTGATTTGGCTATAAGCATGACATATTTGGAGATCATTTGATCATCCAATTTATGCTTTGATGCTTCCAAATATGCTTTAGTCCCTAGCTTTATTTGGGCCCATTTGTGCTTGGATTGAACCGATTTTGTTGTTGTTGGGTTCTTCTAACTATGACATTCAATCTGATTATAAGTTTGCTGAAATTGAAGTTTGGATAATCTCGTATTTAATTTCAAAAGTTTTCAACTTGAATATGCCTCAAGATTCGTGCTTGATCAAGGTAATTTTTGGTGACATATCAAGTATAAATTTTACTTTAAGATTCAAAATTGTATTGAGAAATGCACGAATCAGATAGGGCACATAATTAGTTGCTAAGTTTGGAAAGAAACATATTAACTTAATAAATATTATAAGCACGTAATATGCTAACAAACGTTTTCAAGGGAATAATGCAATTCATTTTTTTTTTTTTGGGAAACC